GGAGAGGAGAGAGGGAGGGATCGAGCGGAGAGAGAGGAGAGGGAGCAGGGGAGGACTTTTGCATAGCCTGTTGGAGAAGACATGTTCGGGGTGCGCGACTCTTTTACTGTGCGTGACCTAAATCATGGAATGAGTATTTGGTTTGGGTCTGTGCTGTTGGAGATAGCCTTATAAACTAAACGATCAGCACCAAATCTGTGCTGGCCAGCGACATTTTTCCTCTGTTTATTATTAATAGCGCTACGAGGAAATGAAAAACACATATAGATATATAGCTTCTATATATCATCATTTCCTCTGTTTATTTCATTTGTTTGGTGTGTCATCCATCAAACTTCAAGATTAATATCCATGTTATTGCCCAAAAGCATCTTATTTTTAACATTTTTTAAGACTATGCATGGAAGAGAGCTTGTCATATTGTAACTTACGGTGAAACTTAACTACTTCTTCTAGATACAAATTAAACTCGTCGTATTTGTAACTTTTCACTGCCCTTTGGACATGATTTTTTTTTTGCAGGGGTAAAGAGAGCTTTCATTAATTGGGTGCAGTATTACAATCAGAGTTGATAAGGTCCAAAACGCACACAGACGTTCCCCACCATGTTGCAGCATAAGTATTCCGTCTAGCTACCTGAGCTAGCTCATGAGCCACGTACTCTATTACGTACAATCTCTCTTTAATTTACCTTGTGGCAATTCCATATATTCTACCAGCAAGTGCAGGTACCCTTTCGCCTCTAGCACACCATACTTGGGACTTGGGAGTTCAGTTCGGACCTATCAGCTTTGTCGGTCGTCAAGGCCGCCACCATGCATCCGGGCACTATCCGTCTCAAGTATTGTCAGCCCCGGACACCACTGTGATGCCAAGGCGAAGCCCCTCCGCAGGCTGCCCCGTTTGGCCGGGCTCCTGCGTGCTCCGGCTCATACACTGTAGTGACACTGTAGCTAGAGCCGGAGGAGAAAAAAAAGAGCTTCTCCCTCTCAGAACGGCTATGTGAGAGAGGAAACGAAGAGAGAGAAAACCGGCTCTGATGAACAGTGTTAGCACAAAGACATGAACAGTACGCAGCAGAGGGAGCCGAAGCTGCCCGGAGCTACACCAAAGGGGGCCTAGGCTTCAGCTTCGTCTGCAGAGGCACAACGTACGGAATAGCAGCACTCGCCATGCCGTCGAGATGATTTCGCCTCAGCACTTGCCTTTGCCTTTCCTGCAGTGTGTAAGATTGTTCGCCCCGTTTGTTTGGATTTGTTTGGCTTTAAGTCGTTCTTTTTCATCTAACGAACATTATTTTTCTCTCACACCAAATCAAACAACAGTACTTTCAGTCATGGCTTATCAGTCAAATAAGTCCAAACAAACAGGGCGGCTGTGTATGGTCCAGGCTTGATCTCCAGAAGATGATCATGATCAACTTGCCGGCCTGCTCACTCGTGCATCTGTCCAACACCGGATCGGATGAGAAGTCAGTCTGGTCCTCTCCTCCTGAACAAATCTTCCCCTGGTGTAGTAGCGGCCAGTGTTCTCTCGAACACTTTACGGCTAATTTTTCTCTCGTGAAAGTGTTCGGTTGATGGTTTCTTGCGTTCGGCTGATGGTTTTTACGACTAATAAATCAGCTGGTGCTGTTTTTTTGAGAGAAAAATACTATACCATAGCTGATAAGTCAGGCTAATAAGTTCAAGCGAACTCCATACTACTTCAGGTTTTACAAGTTGTATACTCATGCAAAACCATGGTCAATATTGTGGACCTGTTAGCAAAATAAAACATGGTCAATATTGGGCTTGAAAGGTTGATTAAATTCTAAATAATGTAAAGGTCAGATCAATTGGACAATTTTGTTTTGGGTTTTCAAACTTACAATGATTAAAAGATTGATCAAGAAAAGTAGATTCGCCAAGTCCAGCATCGGTTCAACTGGATGCATCTGCTAGCTGCATATCGGCAGAGAGTAATAAAGGGGGCACTACTTGAGTGAGAGAAGAAAGGATTCGTAATTTCTCGTATGCTGCGCAGGAATCCCTGCACCGCCGTGCCTGCTGCCGCTCCCCAGCGCCAGCGCGCCTGTGCAGTCACATACTACGAGAGAGAGAGAGAGAGAGAGAGAGAGAGAGAGAGAGAGAGAGAGAGAGAGTGGGCCTGCTACCGCTTGCACGTCTCATCACCTCCGTCGCAGCACATTATCTAACCGGCTCCGAGGTCGGCGCCAAGATCTGTGGCTCCGAGTTCGGAGCCATGTATTCTGGCGCCGAGGTACCGGTCACGTCAACGCCACTTAGAATGTCCTGCTGTACACGACCAGGCATCTCGGAGCCAAGATCTGTGGCGCCGAGACGTGTTATCTCGGCGCCATGAGTTCTGCCGCCGACCCCAGGGTCCAAAGATGAGTTTATGTCTCTAGGGGTCAAACGTAAATTTTGTTAAAAAAAGAACCAAATTGTAAAAAATTGGGCGTGAGGACACTCTAGGACAGCGTGGAAGTATCCTCGATCGGTACCGCGTTCCAGCATAGAGGGCGTCGGCGTCAGCCGGATTGAAGACAGCTCTGATATATCTTGTTGTAGTACCAGTGTCTGCCATCCACATCTAGTAACTCGGACACACACCCAGTGCAGCATCCGATCGACATCTTCCACTTCCACGCGGTGTACGTAGTCGTTTTACAGGTGAATTCTCTGCTGGGGATCCAAGGATCACGCCAGATCCTCACGCTGGAGTGGAGCCGTTCCCAACTCTCCAAATCAAACCCTTTTTCAGGAGTAGGCCGCGTAAGACAGCCTGCCTGCCTGCCCTTTGAACATGATTGGTCTACCGTCACACCAATTTTTATATATCTCGTGATGTACCTGCACTGTGAAACCTGCTGAATTAAAATAACAAGAATATATATGCTTATTTAATTAATATGCATGTCCATTTGCTTGAGTTTATTAACGAAGCTTTGGTTTGACCCATGCATCATGCCATCACAGTTAAAAGTAGGTAGACACCGTTTGGAGCCTTGGTTCCTGCATCCTTCGAATTTCTCTTGTATATATTATTAAAAGGAAGACATGGACACAGGAAGCCTAGAACAATGCCCAAATGAAAAGTAAACAGATCGATACCAGTCCTACACACTACTACTCTTCCAAGTGAGACCGTACCAGAGAGTTGTTCTTGGCCTGTGTGTGAATAGGTAACCGTACCTAATTACTTTATTATATATGCTTTGACCAAACAATGACAAAAACAAATGTTACAATGACATGAAGTAGCAGATAATTCAGCTGGTGCAGCTGGCATGCATTGTAGAAACTTCACAGGGTTGGACTGCATGCTCTGAGCTTTACTTGGACGTGTGGATGTTTATGCTTGTCCTATTCGCAACAGCTCAACTTTGAAGCAAAGCATTCTTAGAATGGAGAGTGTTGACTCCCAATCTATGTTGCGACGATTGACGACCTTTTAGAGCTAGCTAGGAAACCGAGCATGGGAGGTGTATATAGCATATTTTATCCTATATATAAGTGGTAAACAGTTAAGACGTATATAATGTATCATTTTTGTAAAGTTGAAACGAGACTTTATATATTTGAATAGGTCAGTAGTGCCATACAAAATTGACCATGGCCCATGCGTGTTTGTATCATGCATTCATGCATGTATATACGAATATGTGATGATGCATCATGCATGTGGATGACCATTCCATATTCCAGCTGCTGACTTTTCAGGATAAACGAACTAAACCTTGTCAGATGTCATAACAAATTGAAGTGTTGATGATGACAACCTCCAGTTTCCCAAAACTAAATTACCAGCTAGCTGCTTAGCGTTCCTTGTAGTGGGTAGTGTACCCTTCTGATATACGCTCAAGTTATTACCAACTTAGAAAGCGTTTGGTTCCATGGAATGTAACGTAATCTAATTACTCCGAGGACTGGATAACCATACAGCTGTTATAGCGCTCTATTCATTGTCGATACCGCCACTCCTCGACCCTTCTCTCATTACGTCACTGATCTCTGTCTGCAATACCGTTACCACGTCCGCTCCAAACAAAGTCATGATCCCACCACTCAAACCCCACTGAATTGATTCCATTTGCAGTTAGGTTACCCGAGGACAAACCAAACACCGTCTTAGTTTGTTTAGGTGAGTATGGTTGTGTTTACATGAGCAACCCAAGTTTGCATGCACGTATTGAAAAGGTAGCAAAGCAAGCAGAAGTCGTAGCTTTGCTTAACGTACGGGTTCCTAATCAATAAGGCCAGGATCGGACCGGCTGAGTAGCTTTACTTAACCGACCGTGTCGGTTTGCAGTTTGCTTCACTACAAGTCACATTCACACGGACCACAACTGCTGCATGCTGCGTGTATTGTCCTCGACTACACTTGTGATGATGATGCTTTTCACAAAGTTCAGAGGCGGCCGGCCGGAAAAAACAACTATAGCGTCAACACGAAACTAGCTAGCTAGCTCAGCTGCCTGATCATTATCCTAGCTTGCACCCAGTTGTGCTTCAAGTACTCTACAACATCAGGTATATATGATGTACTCTCTTCATAAAGATATTTGTCTAGATTCATTGCAAAAACAACACTTTTTTTTTTAGGACGGAGGAAGTATACCACGAAACCAGTAGAGCGAGCTAGCCAGGGCAGGTGGTGTGAAAACGCGTGATCCCTGTGTGTGGCCAACACAACACGGAGATATATGCCTTTGGTCGTCGATGGCTTGCTTGCTTTTCAACTCAAAGTCCAACACAACGGAGGAGTAGGTGAGGAGATGATAAATCCATCATGACGTGATCTAATCATGCATATTTGATGCATAATACATACGATACTGTGTACTAGTCGTCTATACAAGCCAAGTCCCGGCGTTTCTGCTATAAATATCACTCTCCTCCAGGGACTCTTCTCTGCATCTCTTGCTGCGAGAGTGAGTAAGCTAGCAGTACAAGTAGCAGCTCATCATCACCGGCCGGCCAGTCGGTGCGTACACCATGGCTGCTCGCAGCATAGCCGCTTCCCGCCGCCTCTTGCTGATCCTGACGACGACGACGGTGATGATGGCCCTGCTGGCCGGCACCACGTCGGCGCAGCTGTCGACGGGCTTCTACTCCACCTCCTGCCCGGGCCTGGACAGCGCCGTGAAGCAGGCGGTGCAGTCCGCCATCGACGGCGAGAAGCGCGTGGGCGCCTCCATCGTCCGCCTCTTCTTCCACGACTGCTTCGTCCAGGGCTGCGACGCCTCGCTGCTGCTGGACGACACGGCCACCTTCCAGGGCGAGAAGACGGCCAACCCCAACAACGGCTCTGTCAGAGGCTTCGAGGTCATCGACGCCGCCAAGTCTGCTGTCGAGAAGGTCTGCCCCGGCGTCGTCTCCTGCGCCGACATCCTCGCCATCGCCGCAAGGGACAGCGTCGTCATCCTGGGCGGGCCGAACTGGGACGTCAAGGTCGGGAGGAGGGACTCCACGACGGCGAGCTTCAGCGGCGCCAACAACAACATCCCGCCGCCGACGTCGGGGCTCGCCAACCTCACCTCGCTCTTCGCCGCGCAGGGCCTCTCCCAAAAGGACATGGTCGCGCTCTCTGGTACGTACAAATTTCCAACTTCTTCATAAACTAACTGATTGCAACAACATACAACAAACACGTCCGGCAAATTAATTTCTTATTGTCGATCGGTCGCTTTATTCGGAAGAGAAAAAAGTCTGCTTGTCATCTTCGAGAAAAATGGACTGTCATACTAGCTAATTGCTGCTTAGACATGTTCAAGTATACTAGATGACATCTTTTTAAAGAAAGAAAGAAAAAAATCAACTGTGTACTTGGAATGAGAGAAAAAGAACCACTACATATATATACTTCTCAAATAATAAAGCTAATAAAAAGGTAGCTTTAGTGGTTATATAAATATAATAATACATGCAGCTGGTACACACAATCACACCAACGAAATTGATAGCTCAGTTTTGACTCGAGATCGAGCTGGATTATTATTAACCTTGTCTTCTTTACATAAGCTTGCTGCTGATTGGTGAATCACCAAAGACTAGATGTCGGTTACTAACATAACCCGTAGCACGAGAGTTGGTACAGACAGATATGGATGGCATGAAAATGACCTAATAAAGTTAATTTGCAAAGGTGACAACGAGATGCCACAAATGTACATGCATGTTTTTCTCGGTATGGCTTTCTAGAAGTAAAGAAACTTGTATATCATGCTTTTGCGTGTAGTATACGTCCACTCATTTCCCTCACACCTTAACTATTGAAATATTTGAGATAACATATAATTTATGCCGTCCTTATATGTTGTCTTGACTTGTTGCTTCTTAATTTTGCTACTAGGTGCTCACACCATAGGCCAAGCACGCTGCACCAACTTCAGAGACCATATATACAACGAAACCAAAGACATCGACGATGCCTTTGCAAGCACAAGGAAATCGGACTGTCCTAGCACCTCAGGTACAGGTGACAACAACTTGGCGCCTTTGGACCTTCAGACCCCTACCGTCTTTGAGAACGACTACTACAAGAACCTTGTTAGCAAGAAGGGGCTCCTACACTCTGACCAAGAGCTCTTCAACGGTGGAGCCACCGACGCGCTAGTGCAATCGTATGTTAGTAGCCAGAGCGCGTTCTTCGCGGATTTTGTGACCGGCATGATCAAGATGGGTGACATTACGCCGTTGACAGGCTCTGCTGGGGAGATCAGGAAGAACTGCAGAAGGATTAACTAAGGAAATTGGAATGTTATTGAGGCTTTTTCTTTAGTCACGTTCAGCAACTTCATGGCTTTATTTCTATTATTATTTTTTTGTTTCTGCAAAATTGTGAAGTCATTGTGTTGTCTCAGCTCGATGTGTTCACATGTCGATCGGTTTGTTTCAGTAATGAATGTATCAGCTTTTGTCTACTTCATCCCATTTTGTTTAAAAAAGTAGGCAAGATCGCTGTCTATAGTAGGCAAGCTGCCTATCAGCAGGTCACGAACCATTTGATGATACTACACTCCCGCATGAAGAATCACTTACGGTATTAGGCATGACAAGATTTTCCTGTAAACTAAGAACAAGCATATATACTGTACAAATATACGTATGCACTTGTCGTTTAACTTGATTAACAGATAAAATTGAGTGGCAACTAAATTGTAGTTCTCGTGGTGATATATGGTAGACTTAGGGGATGTTTGGATCCAACTACTAAAATTTAAGAGATGTGTCGGGAGGATATTGTATGGGGTGTTCGGATACTACACTGGTAGAAAACAGAGCTTTACTCCCGGTGGGGAACCCCCTCTAGTCCCGGTTCCCCACCCGGAAGTAAGCATCCGGGACTAAAGGGGGGTCCTTTAGTCCCGGGTCAGGAACCGGGACTAAAGGTAGTCCCGGTGGGTAACATCCACCGGGACTAAAGGTCCTCCCGGCTTTAAAAAAAATAATGCCTCACACCGCTGCGTTCCGTGAGATTCGAACCCAAGACCCCATGCATTGCCTCGCGCGTAGCTTACCACCCCACCTACACAACATATCTAATAATGGATGTGATGCTTCCCTTTTGAACTAACCCATCGGGGGACCTTTAGTCCGGGTTGGTGTTACCAACCAGGACTAAAGGGTCTACCTTTAGTCCCGGTTGGTGTTACCAACCGGGACTAAAGGTTGAGGACTTTTAGTCCCGGTTGGTGGCTCCAACCGGGAGTAAAGGTCCACCTTTAGTCCTGGTTGGTGTCTCCAACCGGGACTAAAGGTCCTCTGCCACTGTGCCAAGCGCAGTAACCGTTGGGCAGGGACCTTTAGTCCCGGTTGGAGACACCAACCGGGACTAAAGGTCTCTTTAGTCCCGGGCGTAAAAAATGTCGGGACTAGAGCCCATTTTAGCATCGGACGAAAGGTCTGTTCTCTACTAGTGCTAATAAAAAAACAAATTACATAATCCGTCAGTACTCCACGAGACGAATTTTTGAAGCCTAATTAATCCGTCATTAGCACATGTCAAATCATGGACTAATTAGTTCTCGTGGTGATATATGGTAGACTTAGCTTGATCAATTAATCAATGGTGATGATACGTATGCATGCTTGTTCAGAGAGAGTAGTTTAGTATGTTTAACAACAATTGACTACTTCTATAACTAGATATCTGCATTCTGGTTAGTTAGTCGAGGCAGCCACATGGTGCAGATTTTATGTTTTGGCCCCATTCTTAATCAGATTTACATGTGAATGTCCACAAAATTAAGCTCATTGAAAAAAAGTAGGGGTTTAAATCAAAATCTAACATTATGAAAATAATCACTATAAATACGTTCATGTGAAACTTGTTTCATCAGAAAAAATAAATTAAGTAGCAGAATATTTTACACATATGTGAATTTGTGTAGCAGACATATGTGAATTTGTGTTTGTTACACGTGAATTTGTATCAGTGTTGTGTTGACATCATATATGCTAATACGCTACAATTTTTCCTATGGTGTTAACATCAGATATCCCCTTCTTAATTTGTACAATGCAACTGGCGATTTATATTGGTAGCGTAGCTTGACCAGCTTAGCTGAAAAAGTAAAATAAAAATAAAATACAAAGCTAGAGCATATAGACTACAGCTTTATGATTTATGCACTAGAAAACAGGCGCAGCTTGCTGCGCCCCTGCTATAGTAAAGCAGCCTGTGGATGTCTGTAGCTGTCCAAAATGCTCACTGATGTCTTTTTGAGGCTATTATTTGTATGCAAGCTTTTTTGATTTTTCAATTATTTATTATGTAGTAGTAATGCGTTACCACAGGATAAAAGAAACAGACCAACTAATTCTAACGTAATCCCTATTCTAGCGTAGTGGTTAAGGTTCCAAACTAAGAACCCTGAGACCTAGGCTCGGGAATTTTTTTTATATTTTTTTATAAAATGGCTGAGATGGCAGGCTCCAAACCGGCAGTGATTTTTTTATATTTTTTTACTAAAAGGCTGCGATGGCGGCAGGGGCCTTCACTGTCAGTTTTGGTTATAAAACCGGCAGTGATAACGCTGCGATGGTAGGCTCCAAACTGACGGTGATTTTTTAATATTTTTTTTACTAAAAGGCTGCGATGGCGGCATGGCCCTTCACTACCTGTTTTGGTTTTAAAATCGGCAGTGATAGCTTCTATCACAGTCGGTTGCTCCAAACCATCACTGTCGGTTTTTAAACTAAAACAAACAGTGATGTGTAGATGCTCCTCACATGCCAAGAGTGCTCCCACTGACCACAATAGTAGGAACACTGCTCCCACCTACCCCGACAATAATAGTTCAGAAACAAAAATGTACCACGACTGCTAGCTCCTATAAAATGGCCCTCGGCCATGAGCTAGCCTCTCCATGCATGTTGGTTTCAGCCAGGCCTTATCTGTCATGATACAATATTTTCCTCTCACAACAAACCACATATATTGTTATGCGTCGTAGTCCACCAAAATGCTGCACACAGGAGGTACTAGAAGAATGCTACTGAAGATAGAGCAACGCCAAAGATTGGAGATGCCACGAGGTTCACAGAGCCATCCATTACGGTGCACATCTGGAAAAAGACCATGTACAGACAAGGCGGATTCATCGATGCCACCTTATCATCTCCAACCGGTATAGCTCGTAGACCACCTCGGTGCTACTGTTTGCCCGTAGTTGGTGCTAGAAGAATGCTACTGAGGTGGTTACATTATAATGTGTTGATACACATTGATTGTAACATTGACCTGTACGCAAATAGGTCTTTGTTATCGTATATGAAATTTTAGTATAAGGTCTTTGTTATCGTATATGTAATTTATTTCTAATATTTTTGTTATTTTTTAATGTATTTCATTACTATCTAAATAAATATATCGTTGTTGTTAAAACTTTTCCACTGTATTATCTAAATAAATATATCCTTTACATATATACACCTTCACTATCGGTTCTACTTAAAAACATGCAGTGATGTCCATGCCCCCCTATATAAAACAAACTGCCGGTGATATCCCCATCCCGCAAGCAAGCGAATGGTTTGCGAGCTACAACCATACAGATGTGGTAAAATGGTTACTTATACCTAAGTCGTGGTTATTTGTTGTTTATTATTGTAATAACATTCTCTATTTTTTTTCTTTTTCTCCACATGCAGATTGCGCTCTAGAACCTTACCTATGCTGCATGTGGCTTGTGGGCCGTTCTAGGCCAAGCTACGGAGCAACTCGGGTACGATTGGGACTTCTGCAATGGAAACCTTGGCCAGCTCACTATAGAAGGATGCCAGTACTGCATAAGGATTACTAACAGGGGTAGTGGTCATTTAGTAGGTTACATTAATGGCCGACCATTCTTTCGGTATTGTGAGGCACGAGAGAGTGCACTCGTACGGGCATTGGACTTCATCGATACAAGCGGATACATAATCCGTGACATCAGTTACCATATATGGCTATAGAGGCATGTTAGTGTGCGTGGCCCGATCGAACCCGACAGGAATTCCGATAGTAATCAATGTTTATTTAGCTAGGTTTTCAAGGTCGTAGTTTAATTGGGTTCTAATTTTAATTTGTACGGCTTTATGTGTTTAATTATTGTCATGCATGTAATTCGTGTAACATTTGTTGGGCAACTAGAAATATACATTCCAGTGTTGTATTGGTCTCAAAAATTTTCTTAGGCTTGCACGTGCCACGTGTGAAGGAAACACCTAGTTTGGGATTTTCCGGAGATGGTTTGCTACTTTCTTTTCCGCGCGACAACACCGATTTATTATGGGTTGAACTGAGTCTACCCATGAAAAGATACAGAATGGTGCCAAACTTTTACACAGGCTCTAATGTGCCCTAGAAATAAGAATTTTGTGGAGGTCGATGAAAAAATCTATTGGGTCCAAGATGTAATTCACCCTCTTTTTTCTCATTCAGCACAGAGAAAAATATATTAATAAAAAAATGATCAGAAAAACCTCAGATCTTGTTTGGGGCCTTAATTTGGGTATACATGCTTGCCAAAAAATTTTAAGCCATTTCGACATACGCGGAGTATACATTCTTCAAAGAGGTATATGAGCCCTTTCATCGAACCATGACTATATACATAGGTTATCAAGGTTTCTGTGGTTCATATGCATTCTGATGTCGTATTGGTCTCAAACTTTTTCTTAGGCTTGGACGTGCCACGTGTGAAGGAAATACCTAGTTTGGGATTTTTTGGAGATGGTTTGCTACTTTCTGAGGTTTAATTGAATTTCCACGTGACGACACCGTTTAAGTATAGGTTGAACTGAGTCTACTCACGGAAAGATCTGGAATGGTGCCAAACTTTTACATAGGCTCTAATGTGCCATCGGGATAAGAATTTTGTGGAGGTTGATGAAAAAATCTATTGGGTCCAAGATGAAATTCATCCTCTTTTGTCTCATTCAGCACACAGAAAAATATAATAAATAAAAAAAAACTGATCAGAAAAACCTAAGATCCTATGTGGGGTCTTAATTTGGGTGTACATGCTTGCCAAAAAAAATTCAAGTCATTTCAACATAGGAATAGACATGCTTCTATTTATTCAGTATATAAAAGAAATTTTTAATATATATAAACATCACTATCGGTTTGAAAAAACCGGCAGTGATGAGATGAAACCGACAGTGATGCTATTTATCACTATTGGTTTATTTTGAAAACTGACAGTGATATATAAAAAATTAAAAAAATTATGCTAGCCCTCAGGTTTGAGCTCGGGTCT